TTGAACCCGGGAGGTAGAGGTTGCAGTGAGCCAAGATTGCGCCATTGCACTCCAACCTGGGCAACAAGAGCGAAACTCTGTCTCAAAAAAAAAAAAAAAAAAAAGTATTGATTAGCTCTGCCCACTGAAAAGGCCTAGAAACAATGACCAAGCCAGTTAGCCATGAGTGTCCAGATTCTATACCTAAATGCCACTTCCCACTAAAGTAAACCAGGACTCCTGGCACAAAAATAGCTGATTCCAGGTTCTGAATAAAAAATGTACAAACTGAACATGAAACATCTTGTCTTCCCAGAAAGGAAGGAAGGTGTCAAGGACTAAGCAGAGACTGCTGGAAGGATGTGGGGGCCAATTTGAAGGAGCTCTTGCTAACCAAAAAATGGACAATTTTAGCATCAATGTGAATAATAACTGCGGTGAATTGGATTACATCAATTGTGTTAGAAGCATGAATGCATAATGACACCAAAGAACAACAAAATTTTTTTTTTTTGAGGTAGTATCTGGGTCTGTTGCCCAGGCTGGTGTACAATGGTACAATCTTGGCTCATTTGTTATTTAGGACATGGAATCAACTATTTTAGTGCAAGGAGTCCTGGTTTACTTTAGGAACCTCCACCTCCCAGGCTCAAGTCATCCTCCCACCTCAGCTTCCAGAGTAGCTGTGACTACAGGTGCTCACAACCACATCCAGCTAATTTTTGTATTTTTTGTAGAGATGGGATTTCACTATGTTGCCCAGGCTCATCTTGAACTCCTAAGCTCAAGCAATCCTCTTGCCTCTTCTTCCCAAAGTGCTAGGAATACAGGCATGAGCCACCGTGCCTGGCCAACAAAATTTTAAAAAAATAAAACACTTTTGAGGTTTCCTTGGAGAATGTGAGGGATCCAACTCATGTGAAAGGTGGCAAGTGGCCGGGCGCAGTGGCTCAAGCCTGTAATCCCAGCACTTTGGGAGGCCGAGACGGGCGGATCACGAGGTCAGGTGATCGAGACATCCTGGCTAACACGGTGAAACCCCGTCTCTACTAAAAAATACAAAAAACTAGCTGGGCGCGGTGGTGGGCGCCTGTGGTCCCAGCTACTCGGGAGGCTGAGGCAGGAGAATGGCGTGAACCCGGGAGGCGGAGCTTGCAGTGAGCTGAGATCTGGCCACTGCACTCCAGCCTGGGCGGCAGAGCGAGACTCCGTCTCAAAAAAAAAAAAAAAAAGAAAGGTGGCAAGTTAGAGAATGGAATCAAAGCATCCATTGCTTTTACTATACAAACTCTATCTTAACGTGGCCTAATAGTTTACAAAGGAAATTTCTTTTTATAGAAGAATTCCAGCTAACAAATGTAGTAGGAATATAAGAAATAGATTAATGCTTGTAACCCTTTATTTACTAAAATCTTTCAGTGGATAATGGAGATCTTTATAATGCATAAGTATGGATGACACTTGGGCCCACTGATTAACCTCAATATCCAAAAAGAGACAGCCAGGCACTTTGTGTTTTATGGGGTCTTGTAATAGAAAGTACATAACACCATTTGCCACAAAGTCACCTTATCTGATGTAGACCTAACTTCCATTTTATAGGAAACGCAGGGACAAAGGAACATGTTAAATGACCCCAAAGAAATCCACAACAAAATCTTGATTGTGAAAAGTTGTACTGACCCTGTGCAGTGACTCATGCCTATAATCCCAACACTTTGGGAGGCCAAGGCAGGAGTATTGCTTGAAACCAGGTGTTCAAGGCTGCAGTGACAAACTATTCACCCAATTTTTTCAACAAATAAAATGCCAAGGGGAAGGAAAAAATAAAGAGGAAGTGAAACCTATAGATTAAAAAACACGTACAAGACATTAAAAAAAAAAAGGTGATGTGTGCCTTTGTTGGATTCTGATTTCAATGTGGAAACCTTAAAAAAATTCATGAGACAGGTGGGAAATTTGGGTACTAACTAGATAGTTCATGATATTAAAAATTATTAAATAAGGCTGGATACGGTGGCTCATGCCTGTAATCCCAGCACTTTGGGAGGCTGCAGGTGGATCATTTGAGGTCAGGATTCGAGACCAGCCTGGCCAACATGGTGAAACCCTGTCTCTACTAAAAATACGAAAAAATTAGCTGGGCATGGTGGCGCACTCCTGTAATCCCAGCTACTAGGGAGGCTGAGGCAGGAGAATTGCTTGAACCTGGGAAGCGGAGGTTCCAGTGAGCCAAGATCACACCACTGCACTCTAGCCTGGGTGACAGAGTGAGACTCTCTCTCAAAAATAAATAAATAAATAAATGCCAATACTCTCTCATCTTAATAATTTTTATTTATTTATTTGAGATAGAGTCGCATTCTGTCACCCAGGCTGGAGTGCACTGGTGTGATCTCGCTCATTGCAACCTCAGTCTCCTGAGTAGCTGGGATTACAGGCACGCACCGCCACACCCAGCTAAATTTTGTGTTTTTAGTAGAGGCAGGGTTTCACCATGTTGACCATGCTGGTCTTGAATTCCTGACTTCAGGTGATCCACCTGCCTCAGCCTCCCCAAATGCTGGGATTATAGTCATGAGCTGCCATTTACAGTCAGTATTGGGATTTTTAAAAATTATCTGGTTTTATAGAAGTAGACAGTAGAATATTTACAGATGAGGTGAAATGATATCTAAGATTTGCTTCAGAATAACCCACAAGTGGGTCAGGGGAACAGACTTGGCCATGTGTTGATGTCAGTTGATGGGGACATGGAATAGTGTTTTTACTTTTGAATGTGTTTGAGATTTTCCAAAATAAAAGTCTATTTAGAGAAGCCAATGCGGCCAGGCGTGGTGGCTCATGCCTGTAATCCCAGCACTTTGGGAAGCGGGGGCAGGCCGATCATTTAAGGTCAAGAGTTCGAAACCAGCCTGGCCACCATGGTGAAACCCCGTCTCTACTAAAAATTTAAAAATTAACCGGGCATGGTGGTGAGCACCTGTGATCCCAGCAACCCAGGACACTGAGTCAGGAGAATTGCTTGAGCCTGGGAGGCAGAGGTTGCAGTGTGTGGATCACACCACTGCACTCTGGCCTGGGCAACAGAGCAAGACTCCGTCTCAAAAAAAAAAAGCAAATGCAAAGGGCTTGGGGATTTTTCTGGAGTGATATTTCTCATATTTAATTAAAATAATTTGAGTGCTTTGGTAAAGTTCTGGAGGAATGGTAGGACATGATAAAATTATCTGGAAAAGTGGAAGACATAGTTGTTGCTGGCATTGACACTCCTGGCGACAATAGCAGTTCATCGCTAGTACTCGTGAGAATAACCTTCAGTCTGAATTCTCCTAGAAGAGGAAAAGTGCCTCCTTACTTCCCACACTTAGTGCTGTAGCAGGTCTGTAACCTGTGCTTGGGAACACCTTTGCAGTTGCAGAGGTGGATATCAGAAGGCTGCCACTCCTGAATCCTGTCACGTGAGGTGGCATCTGCTCCTCCACGGTGTACTTCTAAGTATTCCTGGGAAATCAGCTGAATTTTCAATGGGACTGGAAGAATTGCTTCCAAAAACAAATACTGCAGACTTACCTGTGTCCCATTCTCAGATATTGATATTTTATGGGAGGGATCTATAAGAAGCAGGTTGGAGCAGATCTAAAGCATTCCTTGTGGATAGGTATTTCACCTGCTTAATTTTTCAAGATTTCAGAGGGGAAGGAGACAACATCGTTGCCTTCCTGCATCGCCTTGCTGTCAGCACGGACATTTATTTACTAGCAGAGATTTTGCGATTCTTCTTCCTCCCTGTCAAAACTGGACACTTGAAACTATTAGAATACCACAGTAGTAGTACTAGGCCTAAGTACACAGAGAAGAAACGCGAAGTCCTTACTGTCTATGTATTTGTATAATGCCGATTTATTTTTTGGTCACTGCATATTAAAAACTAATTTAGATAAAATATCTCACGTTTTTTCTTTCAGGTCCGATGTCTAAAAGACTATGGAGAATTTGAAGTTGATGATGGCACTTCAGTCCTATTAAAAAAAAATAGCCAGGTATTTCTTATCTTCAGATACTTTACTTTAAATCTTATGACTGCTGAATGGTGGAAAAGTTGGAATAGCAAAATAAATATCAACTTGTGATGATCGTTTATATCTTAGGCATTATCTGTAGTATAATACACCCTGTTCTGTACTTTTTCTGAATATTAAGACTGGAAGCAAATGTTGCAGATATTAAGAAACGATTAATTCATTTAGTAAGATATTGCTTATATTTAAAGTTCCTAAGCAGTTTTTTTACCTTACACTTTGCCTTATAAATCCTAGTTCTTTAGCAAACCAATAGTGATACAGATTTTTCTATTTTCAAAAAAAGAATTTTCAAGTATTTGGTATGTAAACATAACAATTTAATAGAGGAAGATTAAAATTGTAAAGTTGTAACTTAAGCTAAATTTGTCCTTATAAGGAATCTCTCTATATCTATCTATCTATCTATCTATCTGTCTATCTATCTATCTATCTATCTATCTATCTATCTATCTATCTATCTATCTATTTTTAAAGAAAATAGAGATGGGATCTTGCTGTGTTGACCATGCTAGTCTCGAACTCCTGGGCTCAAGCAATCCACCCACCTTGCCATCCTAATGTGCTAGGATTACAGGTGTGAACCACCATGCCCAAAGTAATGTCAGTATATTAATTATTTCCCTAGAAATCTTCAAATTCACATTAGATGAATTCACATTAGCTAAATTATTACTTTTATTTATTTGTTTTTGAGACAGAGTCTCGCTCTGTTGCCCAGGCTGGAGTGCAGTGGCACAATCTCCACTCACTGCAAGCTCCGCCTTCTGGGTTCACGCCATTCTTCTGCCTCAGCCTCCCAAGTAGCTGGGACTACAGGAGCCCACCACCACTCCCGGCTAATTTTTTTTTTTTTTTTTGTATTTTTGGTAGAGATGGGGTTTCACTGTGTTAGCCAGGATGGTCTTGATCTCCTGACCTTGTGATCTGCCTGCCTCTGCCTCCCAAAGTGCTGAGATTACAGCCGTGAACCACCGTGCCTGGTCTATTATTATTTTTTTGAGGCAGGGTCTGGCTGTGTTCCCCAGGCTGGAGTGCAGTGGCGCAATCTCTGCTCATTGCAACCTCTGCCTCCTGGGCTCAAGTGATCCCCCGCCCTCAGCCTCCCAAGTAGCTGGACCACAGGTGCGCACTACCATACCCGTTTAATTTTTGTATTTTTTATAAAGACGGAGTTTCACCAGTTGGCCAGGCTGGTCTTGCTACTGAGCTCAAGCAATCCACCCACCTCAGCCTCCCAAAGTGCTGGGATTACAGGTGTAAGCCACTTTGCCTGACCACTAAATTTTTTATCCTATCCCAATTTTCTGAAGTTGTGAGGAGGAAAAATGACCTAATAAAAGCTGTTCTTTTTCTTTCCTTGCCTGCCATCTTGGGGTCAGCCATTTAGGATCTGATGACCCTAAGGATTTGGTGTTCACTTTGTTCATGGCAGGGAGCAAAAGAATGTTTCAGGTCATGTGGTTCTTGAGCTTATTTTCCTAACAGGGTGAGTTGATCTGTTATTTTACTAATACCCTTGGAGCTTTAAAACTGTTTTACTAATAGTTGACTAAAATTATTTTACTAATACCGTTGGAGCTTCTAAAACAAAGGTTGAATATTTTTAAAAAAGATTTTGAGGGTTCCCTAAAGTCTTTGGTTGTTAAGGCAACAATTTCTGTCGCAGTATTCTCTTAGGACACTAATGAATTGAAAGCAGATAATGAATTAATGCTCTGATAAGCAACTATATTTCTGGAGGGCCCAGGAGGAAGCTGTGGTTCACAAGAACAAGAAAAAAGCCATCCTCATAAAGCAAGATATGTGAAATGTCCCTTCATCCCAAATGCTGTCCTGTGGTTGAATTTTTTTTTTTTTTTTGAGACAAAGTCTTGCTCTTGTACCCCAGGCTAGAGTACAATGGTGCGATCTTGGCTCACTGCAACCTCTGCCTCCTGGGTTCAAGCGGTTCTCCTGCCTCAGCCTCTCAAGTAGCTGGGATTACAGGCGCCTGCCACCATGCCTGGCTAATTTTTGTAGTTTTTTTAGTAGAGGTGGGATTTCACCATGTTGGCCAGGCTGGTTTCAAATTCCTGACCTCAGGTGATCCGCCCACCTCGGCCTCCCAAAGTGCTGGGATTACAGGTGTGAGCCACCGCGCCTGGCCTGGTGGTTGAATTTTTTAAGTCTGTTTCTCAGCTGTGACCCTACCCTCAATTATAAAAATGGAGGCATTAAAAAGAAACAATATCAGCCACAGTTGATGGTTGGTATTAGGGGCTTCTAATGTTCAACCACATCTGAATTTTCTGTAGAATCTGGTGTAGATCATTCATATACTCTAAAGAATTAGTAGGAAACATTTTATATGTGTATATATATATGTGTGTGTGTGTGTGTGTGTGTATATATATATATGCTTTTTTTTGAGGTGGAGTTTCCCTCTGTCACCCAGGCTAGAGTGCAGTGGCACGATCTTGGCTCCCTGCAACCTCTGCCTCCTGGGTTCAAGCGATTCTCCTGCCTCAGCCTCCTGAGTAGCTGGGATTACAGGCGCATGTCACCATGCCTGGCTAATTTTTGTATTTTTTTTTTTTTTTTAGTGGAGGTGGGGTTTCATCATGTTGTTCAGGCTGGTCTCGAACTCCTGACCTCGTGATCCACCTGCCTCAGCCTCCCAAAGTGCTGGGATTACAAGCATGAGCCACCATGCCTGGCTGGGAAACATTTTCTAATATACATTCTTTTATATTTGTCACTATGGCAAGCACTGTTTATTTTTATCCAGAAATCAATACTCTCCATCTGTTTTAATACCAGCATTAGTATGGATATTAAATGAACAACTCAGTTATTTTGTTTTTGTTGTGTTTTTTTACATTTTTCTTGGCTCATGTATCTTCAAGATTGGTTTAGAAGAATTTGGTCATGGATCTCTTGTAAGGCCTTTGAGTTTGTGAGGCAGGACCTTCACGTGCACATGGCTACTGAGGTTACATTTTGCTTCCTTGAGGTCTTCCTTTGAGATTTTTTTGACCCCCTGTGGATCGGAAAACCTTCCTGCCTTCCTTCCTGAGCTTCCCTCCTCCAGGGCAGTCAGTGTTTTCTGTAAGTCCTTGTGTTTGAGAGGGAAGGGGACATCTTTCCACCTGCCCCTGGTTCCCTTAGAGCAAGAGCGACATCCTCTTAGGAAGACACGGGACAAGCAATACCTGGGTGTTGGCATCTTCCCACGTACCATGTGAATAGCACCCGCACTGTGGGTCATGAATACTTTTCATCCTTGAGAAATAGAGGAGGAAAGTTGTCACTTGTTATTAGAAGAATGTTCAGACTCTGAAATCCTAGAGCGGGTTTTATGGAGAAATGAGCCTTTCATGGGTCTTCCTGATAGGCTGTTGGGCCAGTGATAATCCAAATCACACCTATCTGGATTTCTCTGTGCATAATTTAAAAAATACAAACACTAAGGACGATACCTACTAGATTCAGAAGTCTTAGTTGAATTGAACTTAAGCAAACTGAATTCATTTGTGAAAGTCAGAATTCTGTACAACTCTAAATAGCATCAATTTCAGTGTGATTAAAACAGCAAATATAGTTAAATTTAACTTTTTTTTTTTTTGAGATGGAGTTTTGCTCTTGTTGCCCAGGCTGGAGTGCAATGGCACGATCTCGGCTCACTGCGGCCTCCACCTCCCAGGTTCAAGCGATTCTCCTGCCTCAGCCTCCTGTGTAGCCGGGATTACAGGCATGCACCACCATGCCCGGCTAATTTTGTTTTTTGTTTTTTTTTTGTTTTTTTTTTGAGACAGTCTCGCTCTGTCACCCAGGCTGGAGTGTAGTGGCGTGGTCTCAGCTCACTGCAAGCTCCACCTCCCAGGTTCATGCCATTCTCCTGCCTCAGCCTCCTGAGTATCTGGGATTGCAGGCGCCTGCCACTGTGCCTGGCTAATTTTTTGCATTTTTAGTTGAGAGTGGATTTCACCATATCAGCCAGGATGGTCTCGATCTCCTGACCTCGTGATCCACCTGCCTCGGCCTCTCAAAGTTCTGGGATTACAGGTGTGAGCCACTGCACCCGGCCCAATTTTATATTTTTTAGTAGAGACACGGTTTCTCCATGTTGGTCAGGCTGGTCTCGAACCCCCGACCTCAGGTGATCCGCCCGCCTTGGCGTCCCAAAGTGCTGGGATTACAGGTGTCAGCCACTGCGCCCAACCCCTTAAGTTTAACTTTTAACTACTTACTTGTTGGAGTTTGAAAACTAATCAGTGCTACTTTTTAATGATACAAGAAATAATTTCAAATTCTTTCCCAATCATTTATTTTACTCTTTCTGCATCCCTTCTTGTCCCCTCAGCACTTTTTACCTCGTTGGAAGTGTGAGCAGCTGATCAGACAAGGAGTACTGGAGCACATCCTGTCGTGACCATGCACTGAGGCACTCCCACCCAGGCTTCACCCAACTCATGGATGCCTCTGTACTCACTCTCTCCACCCTCCCTTCACCTCCCTCTTTGATTTTACAAGCTGTAGACATTGTTGAAGGTAACTAAGAATACTTGGCTAAGAAGTATAATTTGCTATTAAAGACTTTCTTCTTTTTTTAATGTTGTACACTATTCTTCCTACTCCTTTTTGGTGTTGGTTTTGTTTTGTTTTGTAGAAACAGTGTCTCACTATGTTGCCCAAGCTGGTCTCAAACTGCTGGCCTCAAGCAGTCCTCCCACCTTGGCCTCTCAAAGTGTTGAGATCACAGGTGTGAGCCACTGCACCTGGCCCCTACTCCTTTTTCTAATAAGCTGAATCTAGAATCACAGCATTCCTACACAGTTTTGTTACAGTGTGTTTTTTAAATGAAAGTAAACATGGTTACATTTGAATCTCTTAAAAAATCAGTCACTTGGCTGGATAGGAAGAAGGTAGATCCTGTGTGTCTTGTTTTCTGGTCATGTGTATTGTACAAGCTAGAGAGCTGAATTTCTGAGATACACATTTTCAAATCACATGAGCAAGTGAAGATGATGGTCTGTAGAAATTTCCGGTATATGTAATGTTTAATGACATACTAATTTATCACCTGGATATTTGGAAAGGAAGGACATACATGGATTTTGCACATTTCCACCATGGTGGCTGGTGTGGCTTGTGGCTGTGGGATGGTCACCAGTATCACCACTTTGGAGAGGGACAGTGAAATTGGGGCTAGAGAAAGAACTTTGTACAGTTTTCCCTGAGATTCAGATTGACTGAAAAATCACATAAAGAGTTGATTGGCTTTCAATGGTTTTTTTTTTTTTTTTTTTTTTTTTGTCGTCCAGGCTGGAGTGCAGTGGTGCAATCTCAGCTCACTGCAAGCTCTGCCTCCTTCACGCCATTCTCCTGCCTCAGCCTCCCGAGTAGCTGGGACTACAGGCACCCGCCACCACGCCTGGCTAATTTATTTTGTGTTTTTAGTAGAGACGGGGTTTCACCATTTTAGCCAGGATGGTCTTGATCTCCTGACGTCGTGATCCGCCTGCCTCAGCCTCCCAAAGTGCTGGGATTACAGGCTTGAGCCACCGCGCCCAGCCCTAATGGTATCTTTTAAACAGCTGACATTTTAAATTTTGATGAAATCCAGTTTATTCGTTTGTTCTTTTATGCTTTGGATGTTGCATCCAAGAAATCTTTTCCCATCCCAAGGTCATAATTTTTTTTCCTTTTTTCTTCTGGAAGTGTTACAATTTTAAGCTTTATACTTTGGTCTATAACCCGTTTTTTTGTTCTGTTTTGTTTTTGTTTCTTTGTTTGTTTTGAGACAGAGTCTCGCTCTGTCACCCAGGCTGGGGTACAGTGGCGTGATCTCGGCTCACTGCAATCTCCATCCCCTGGGTTGAAGTGATTCTTTTGTCTCAGCCTTCCAAGTAGCTGGGATTATAGGCGCAGGCCACCACACCTGGCTAATTTTCATATTTTTGGTAGAGACAGGGTTTTACTGTGTTGGCCAGGCTGGTTTCAAACTCCTAACCTCAAGTGACCTACCTTGGCCTCCGAAAGTTTTAGGATTACAAGCGTAAGCCACCACGCCCAGCCTGCGATCCATTTTGAATGAATTTTCTATATGTTGCAAGGTGTCAATCCACCTTCACTTTTTCTTGGGCATATAGATATCCAGCTGTTTCACTACCATTTTTTGAAAGGACTGCCCTTTGCTCTGTCAGCTTTGCATTTTTGTTAAAAAGTAGTTGTCAGTGTGTATGTGGGTTTATTTCAGGACTCTGTTTTGTTCCATTGACCTGTTTTTCTCTCCTGAATGCCAATACCATATTTGTATGTAGTGTATGTAACTTTTCTAATAATTCTTGAAATAGATAGTATTAATGCATCTTATTTTTGCTGTTGTTTGTATTTTTTGTAGAGATGGGGTTTCACCGCGTTGGCCAGGTTGTGTTGAACTCCTGAGCTAAAGCAGTCCACTTGCCTCATCCTCCCCATGTGCTGGGGTTACAGGCGTAAGCCTTGGCACTGGCCCAATGTACCACTTTTTTTTTGAGATTTGTTTTGGCTATGTTAAGTCCTTTGCTTTTCATGTGAAATTTGTGAATAGGCAGGGTGTGGTGGCTTACACCTGTAATCCTAGAACTTTGGGAGGCCTAGGTGGGCGGATCACTTGAGCTCAGGAGGTCCAGACCAGCCTGGGCCCGTGGTAAAACTCCGTCTCTACAAAAAATATAAAAAATTAGCTGAGTGTGGTGGTGCATGCCTGTAGTCCCAGCTACATGGTGGGCTGAGGTGGGAGGATCACTTGAGCCCCAGAGGTCAAGGCTGCAGTGAGCTGAGATCACACCACTGCACTCCAGCCTGGGTGACAAAGTGAGACTCTCTCTCAAAAAGAAATTAGGATCAACTTGTCAGTTTCTACAACAAAAATCCCTGTTAGCACCTTGATTGAGATTGCATTGAATTTATATAAAAATGTTGGGAGAATTGACATCTTAGTGATATTGAGTCTTCTGGACTATAAACAAGGTCTGTCTTCCCATGTATTAATGTTTCTGTCTTCTATTTCTCTTAATAATCTTGTAGTTTTCAGTGTACAGGTCTACCATGTCAGCGTTTCATAGTTTTGATGCTAAATGGTATTTTAAAATTTCAAATTCTGCTTGTTGCTAGTAAATAGAAGTACAATTGATGTTGAAACTTGTATCCTTCAGCCTTGCTAAACTGTGAGTTCTCATGGTTTTTTTGTAAATTACATCAACCGTCATGTGTTCTATTAATAAAGAGTTTTACTTCTTCCTTTCTAATCTGAATGCCTTTTATTTCTTTTTCTTGCCTGATTGCATTGGTTAGAACTTTCAGTGGAGTACTAAATATATGTGGTCAGAGAAGACCCCCCCATCTTGTTCCTGATCTAAGAAGAAAAACAGTCTTTCATTATGATGATGTTAGCTCTTAAGGTGTTTATAGATGCCCTTTATTGGGGTGAGGAAGTTTCCTCCTATTCTTAGTGATATGGTTTGTCTGTGTCCCTACCCAAATCTCACCTTGAATTGAAATATTCCCACATGTCAAGGGCAGGGCCAGTCGAGATAATTGAATCAAGGGGGTGGTTTCCCCCATACTTTTCTGGTGTTAGTCAGTAAGTCTCACGAGATCTGATGGTTTTATAAATGGGAGTTCCCCTGGACACACTCTTTTGCCTGCCAGCATGTAAGACGTGACTTTGGTTCCTGTCCATTTGCCTTCTGCCGTGATTGTGAGGCCTCCCCAGCCGTGTGGAACTGAGTCAATTAAACCTCTTTCCTTTTTAAGTTACCCACTCTCCAGTATGTCTTTATTAGCATGAGAACAGACTCATACACCTAGTTTACTGAGAATTTTTTTAAAAATCAGAAATGGATGCTGAATTTTGTCATATCTTTTTTCTACATCTGTTGAGATGGTTTTGTCTTTTAGTTTGTTAGTCTGGTGAATTACAGTGGCTGATTGATTGACTGAGTTTTCAGTTTTCAGTGTTAAACCAACCCTGCATTCCTGGCATAAACCACACCTGGTCATGATATATTATCGTTTTTGTAGGATTTTATTTGAAATTTTTTTGTAGAATTTTTGCATCAGTGTGCATGAGAAAGATTGGTCTGTGGTGTTCTTGGGAAAATAGTCCCTCCTTTTCAATTTTTTGGAAGAGTTTTCTAAATAGAAAAAAAAAACGTTCTGTCACTCAACAACACAGAAGACTTCTGTGACCAAATGTGTGGGGGTTTTCCCCACATACCAAGCTCTGCAGTGGACACCAGGTGTGTCCTCTACTTCTACTTCAGTTCCAACACTACTTGGAGATAGTGTCAGATCCCACAGGCTCAGGGCTCAGTCCAAGACTGCCCTCCCTGCAGACACCGTCGCAAGTCTGGGCCTCTGAGATTCTGACCAACTAGCTTCAAGTTGGAGTTCCCATGATCCCCTCTTTGGATTCAATTAATTTGCTTGAGCAGCTCATGGAACTCAGAAACACTTAAGCTTACTGGTTTATTATAAAGGATATGGTACAATATGCAGGTGAAAGGATCCCAATGGAAGAGGTACATAGGGGAAGATGTGGGGAAGGCACATGGAGCTTCGATGCCCACCACCCTCCAGGAGCCTCCATATGTTCAGCAATCCGGAAGCTCTCCAAACCCTGTCCTTTTGGGCCTTTTATAGAAATCTCATTAGATAGGCATGATCGATAACCAAGCAGAGAAATGATTGGACAAAAAGGGTATGATCTAATGCTCATAGTCTGAGTGGCGCCATCCAGCCAGGCCCGTCTGCTCAGGTTCTTAGCCTCTGCTGCAGTCCTCCTTTCAGAGTATGGGGCAGCGCCCCTTCCTATCAGAGAATTTCTTTACAGCCAGCTCCAAGCCAGAAAGGCGGGAAGATTCTTGCCGGGGAGAGAAAAAGAAGCAGATGAAAGGAGGGCAGAAGGGCAGAAAGAGAGATTGTCTTCCCTGAGGCCTAAAATGCCCCAGCATTACAACAAAAGACTGCAACGAAAGCCATGGGAGTTATGAACAAGGAGCCATGGATGAAACCAATATATCTATCATACGTTTTACATACATGGTATTATTTATTTCTTACATGTTTACAGAATTCATATTTAAGCCATCTGGGCCTGAAGTTTCTTTGTGGGAAGGTTAACCACAGTTTTGGCTTAATAAATACATGGCTATTTTGGTTATCCATTTTTTTCCCAAATGAGCTTTGGCAATTTATGTATTCTCCATTTTATCTAAGTTACTAAATTTATTTATATAAAGTTGTTCATGAGCTGGGCACAGTGGCTCACGCCTGTAATCGCAGCACTTTGGGAGGCCAAGGCAGGAGGATTACTTGAGCTCAGGAGTTTGAGACCAGCCTGGGCAACATAGTGAGATGTCAGGAAAAAAAAAAAAAATTGCCAGGTGTGGTGCTGTGCACCTGTGGTCTCAGCTACTTGGGAGGCTGAGGCAGGGGTTGGAGGCTGCAGTGAGCTATAATCATGCCACTGCACTCCAGCCTAGGTAACAGTGAGACCCTGTCTCAAAAAATAAAAGTGTTCTTCATAATACTGCCTTATGAT